AATGTCAGTATGTCATTCCCACACATACAAACTAGCATCTTCTGACAAGTTCATATATCAAACCGCTAATGTTACTTTTGGGTTCAGTCAGTCTCCTATGATATATGATTCTTTCCAGTTGAATTATTGGTTTTAAATTGTTATTGCACTTTACACATTCTACCACTAGGGGATTTAATGTGTCTGATTGCCATGGAGATGAATTGTGGTTAGTTTAAAAAAAAAAAAGTAATTAAAGTCTTGCCTCACTCTGCAGGCTCGAAAAAGTAGGTAAAGTAGGTAAATTTCTATATTTATATGCTTTTTCGTTTTTATGCTTTCCACACTCACTCTCACTCCAGGTGGATATATACCGGAAACAAGGATTTATCCCACAAGGACTCAGATTTGAGAAAAGACCTTTCTTTATGGATATTATTGAATTGGAAAACAAATGGTTTGGAGCATTAGACAACGATTTTGGTCAAATATAGACAATATAGGTTAAAAATAACAGAGACCAAGATTGAACTCTAATATTAGCTCTTCCGATCAAAGAACTCATCTCCAATTTGGATGATGGAATACATCAAATGATGATCTCATTCGAGAAGGACGTAATAAAAAGAAAAACCTCAAACACGCTAGGGACAAGCATATGAGAAAGGGCAAATAAGAAGTTGGCAAAGGAAGAAAATTAGAAATAGATCTATAACCAGAAACCCCACTCATATTAATGTGTCACACTAACAAGCCAAATTCCACTCCCAGAAATCAGCTACGTTCTTATAGACGAGTCCAGCCTAGACAAGGGGAGAGATCGTATGCAGAGGTAACCTGCAGAAATCCAAAGATTTACCAAAACCACAATAAAACATTTAGCCCTAAGATCAAAAGATCTTTTAATAGGTCTGATCAGGGCAATCCAAACATCATCTATATAGAGAACCCGAGGGGGATGTCCTACACAGGCATGAATAAAGTCACAAATGACTGGCTGTCGAATAAGACCTTCCCCCATAATCTGGGGGCTAGACCTAAAACGAAACCCTCGGAAAAAATGGGAATTTCTTTTCTTTTTTTTTTATGGGAAGGGCCATCACAGACATCCAGACCATTCCCTTATTCATGAGAACTTTAGAGGATTTAGAGGAAAGGGATATCAATCCCAACAAGCTGAGATGCCTTTCATGAAAGGGATCTTTAATATCTCCTTATACAACCTACAACCAGCGGAACTCTCTCTATTAAATAAAGGGTTACATTTTTCTACTTCGAAAAACTTCAATTTGTTTGAGCTGTTTAAAGAGCTCAACAAAAGGAAATTAACTTTAACAAGGTCATTTAATATAAAAGAGTCTAACAGTGTTGTTGGCTGCCCAGGTTTTCTCAATAATCCTCAAGATAGGATGATTCTGAAAAATCTGGTTTCTCTCATGAACGACCAGGATGATTCAATATGGATGCCCTAGAGGTAATTAATGCCAACACACCAACAGGTTTGAAACCTCCATCTACCTACTATCCTGTGTCAGACAAAGGTCATTTCATCCCTAGTTTTTAATGATCTTGTTTTAAATGAGTTTTAAAAGTTGGATGCAGACAATAAAGGTAAACATATGAGGGGACACTCTAACAACCTCAGCCAACCAGAGGCCTGAGCCCTAAAAGATCTTAGGAGCAATCAAGAGATCATTATTATGGGGGTGGATAAGGGGGAAGGCATAGTGGTACTTAATAGAGAGGACTACCTGAAGGAAGCCAATAGAATTTTGGGCGATGAACAATACTATAGGGCAGAGGTAGGCAACCTTTTAGCAGCACTGTGCCGATATAGGATTGTGATGTCCCTTAGCGTCTCTAAATGGGTGGATATCCTCCTACAAAGATATGTGGTGAATCTTCCTTCCTATATACGTGACACCAGCCATGTTCTGTCTCTAATGCAAAATGTAAAATGGCATGAAGGATATAGCTGACTCACCATAGATGTTACAGCATTATATACCAACATTATCAATGAATTGGACATACAAGCACTTCCTGCTTTCCGATCCACTCCTTCCATCTTCTCAGGCTGAGTCCATCATTGAAGGATATATTTTATATTGACACACAATTATTTTAAGTTTGATAATAGGTTTTATCTCCAAACAAAAGGGAATACCATGGGGGCGAGCGTTGCCCCCTCTTATGCCAACTTATGTATGGGCTTATGGGAATGGACACATGTTTTAGAGAACCCCTATTAGAAAGATCATCTGATATTTTACTGTAATTTTATTGATGATATCTTAATCATCTGGAAGGGGGACTGGGATGATATTGACAAGTTTGTGACTGAGCTCAATTCTAACTACTGGGGACTCTCATTTACTTTTAACAAGCAGAGCTCTAGGATAGAATTCCTTGACCATATACTTTGGGGAGAAAAAGACCAGGTTCTTACTAGGACATTTCAGAAAAAGGTAGACGTAAATGGCTTCCTAAATGCTACCAGTGGCCATCATCCTACGTGGATTGCAAATGTACCACTAGGCCAATTCATTAGACTCCAGCATAATTGCTCCATGTTAGAACACTTTGAGGAAGAAGCTCTAAACCTTTGCCAACAATTCCTTGATAAAGAATATCCTTCTATATCAATCCTACTTGCCTACAACAAGGCAAGGAATATGGATAGAATCCCTTGCCCTAATACAGCTTTTAAACCCATAGCCAATTCTGTCACCACTGTACAGTATCCTGACTCTGAGACACACAGAGCTATAATATCGATGCTTACTAACTGGGACCACAATAATACTATACAACCCCACAAATTTTTCATTAGCACCAAAGATGTGACCAGGAACAGGTCCAATATTTTCTACTGTCTTTAATATCTGCAATTATGCCATTATAGGCTGGATGGATCCTTGGTTAAAATTGAGCATTGCCAACAATCCCAGAGTAATTTTTAGAAGAAGTAAAAATCTAAAAAACATCTTGACTCCCTCTATATTTACCTCCTCAGATACCCCTAACCAGACTTGAAATACCATGTTTATTAAATTTTTCAACATTTTTCATACTTTCTTTTGATTTGTATATGTGTTTAAAAGTGTTTGCTTCCTGCTTTAAAACAATAATTGTCAAGTGATACATGTCCTTTTAAACTATGCTGGCTCTATGTTTTGTGAGACACACAAAGATATTGATGTAGCAATAGCATGGTGTCAAAAGTTAAAGGGATACTTTCATTCTAGGAATAAAAATCTGTATTCCTAGCATTATAGCATCTTAACAGCTCATATACTCTGGCCATTTAAACCAGAACAGGATAAAAGAAAGGAAAGGACTTGGAAAGCTTGTGCACTTATTTTTGCCAAATTACTAGCCACTGGTGCAAAATATAAAGAAATAAAGTTAGTAACAGGGGATCAGTTATGAAATGTAGTGTGTTTTAATCCTGTGATAATGGGTTGGAAATTTAATAATGAAAAGTCATTAATGTTTAATTATGCTGTTTCTGTGTGTTCTGCATATCACATAAACATACAGATATAGCAAACATCAAGCCTGTTTTACTATTTTATCCTTTGTATGTTCTCACCTATACCTCACAATCTTGGGTCTGGTATATTCATAGCACTATAGCAAACCTGAAAGCCAGTTTACAATTATCATATCATATTATCCATTTGCATACTACCACAAAGGGAATAATGAGTTCTTCTTCTGTAATAATGTGGTATACAGTTGAGTGTACCATCAATATGATTATACAATAAAGAAGAGAACATTAATTTCCTAATCCTCAGTCCCTTGCATATCCAGACTAAATTTAATTTTCTTGCACAAATCCATAATTTTGACTCAGTTTAGTATTTGTTACCATAATGCCATCTAGTGGCTGTGAAAGAAATACATAATTGTTTGATATAATAAAATGCTGGTGTTAAAGGGTACCAGTCATGACCAATACAACTTAATCTTAAATGATAGGGTGTCAAATTTAACCAGTTCACAGTGCAAGTAGAATTGCTATCAACTGTTTACATTTTTCTGAAATCAGTGGTTAAAAAAACAATCCTTTCTATCTTCTCAGTCAATTCAGTCTGTGCCGATTAGCACAGAGCTAAGAAGGCTGTGCTCTGCATGTCTGTTATAACACAAGTCAAGCCAGATGGTTAGAAAACAGTAACCCTAAATCTGTCATGACAGGTTCACTTCAGTAGATTTTTTTTGTTTTTTTTTACAATTTAGTAGACATGTCCCCATGAAAAAAAATGCATGTGATCATGTATTTCTTCATTTCGGGTTATATCTAAAACTGTTTCCAAAAACTGAAGATCTTTTGTCTGCAGCCTTTGCAAACCCTCCCCTTTTTCCTCAGCCCAGGCTATCTGTGGCTGTCCAATCACAGTCCAATCACAGACTTCCCAAGGCAGAAAAGTATTTTCATGGCAGATGACCTGGGCAATTGCCTGCCTTTTGAGTTTAGCTTCACTAAGCTAAACTACCAGGCAATCACAGGACCAATTTTCCAATTGACAGCCAGGGGGTTGTAATGAAGTTAATTTATAAATGTAAAAAAACAGAGAAAAGTGGAAAAACCACCCAGTACATGTATGGGAATTAAAATTTAAACATAACCTGGAGGAGTGGACCAGGATAATGGGATCAATGCAGAGCTACAATAGTAATAAACATCACATAGCGTAATACAGTAAAGGTTAGAACACAGTGAGTGGTGTTAGTATTAAACTCACAAACATAAGATGAAACAGGCTTCTCACCCCACCAGGGGTTAAAAACGAATTAGAAAGTTGGTGAATCTCAGCAGTGGAAATCCTCATAAATTATTTGGATAAATGGAGGAAAAAGAGCCATACATGGTGAAGTACTGTTAAAACCAAAAAGGGATTTTATTAGATTGCACTTACAAACAGGTAGAGAATCTGGGCATATCTCCACATAGAGTGGAACCAGGCAGCAGCGTGGTAGATCTTGAAATGCCAAAGTTTCAGCAGTTAAAAGTAAAAACAAATATAGAACAAAATTAAAAGTCCATACAGAGTCCAAGATTTGACTCAAATCTTGGACTCTGTATGGACTTTTAATTTTTGTTCCTATATGCACTGTGTAACAGAGCTTACATGCTAGAGGGAGTGGGGTATAGTGACACAAAGTAGGGGTAATAAAATAGGTTGCTAGAAAAGTATTCACTGGGAACTTAGTAGGTTATTTTTGATTGTTGCAGGAGAGGAGTCATGGAGGCGGTGATGGAATGAAAATCCACTAACAATTTAAATGATACGCTTACCTGAAGAAGTGTGTTTTCAAAGATATTTTGAAGGAGTGGAGACTGGGTGAAAGTCTAACGTAGAAGGGAAGGGAGTTCCACAGAAAAGGTGCAACCCTGGAGAAGTCTTGGAGTCGAGCATCAGATGTGGGAGTACGGACAGAGGATAGACTATTAAGTCAGTATCGTCAGGTTTGTGAATGCAGATACTAGAGCCCAAAGACAGAATTAGATTATTAATATTTAAATACCAAAAAAAGACTAAAGAAATGTTATACAGTGTCAAAAATTAGATGAAACAAAAAGATGCAAGAATCAGAAATAAAATAGGACTTAAACAAAACACAGAGCTTGCACTAGTGCAAATATCACTGCAAACCTTACAGTAGGCCAAGTGGGAATTTCTTGTTTAAGTCCTGTCTATTGTTGTTCAGATAAATTCAAAGAGAAGTTCAGTTCGGCCTGGACTGGCATTGAGCTGTTCTTCCTTGGTCTCCCTTCCAAACTCCCCTGGGGTGTCCCAGTCTAATGGGGTAGGTTATACTGTCATAGTCGGGGGTGTTTATCTTACCTGGGTCTCCCATGCTGGTTTGCTGGCTTCAGCAGCTTGGGCTTGCAAGCGTGTGGTAACTGGATTGGCTTCAGCAGGTTCCGTGGTAGCATAGGCAGGGGTTAAGGGACCCAAATCATTCCCCAATAGTAATTCAGCTGACAATTAGCTCATAACCCCCACGATCACTGTGCCAGACCCAGACCCCCAATCCAGGTGGACTCTAGCAGTGGGGTGGCAAAAAAATAGCTCCCCCAGCTACTCGAACAGCTATGGTCTGTCCGGTATGTGCCTTATCTCTGACCAAGTGGCGCTGTATGAGGATCAGGGTAGCTCCAGTGTCACGTAATCCTTGTGCCTCTTGACCATCTACCAGCACAACTTGCCGGTGATGGTGGTGGTTGTCTTGGGTAGCTGCTTGTATCGGATTAGCCTCAGAGTACTCCCAGATATTCATGGTTAGCCTCAGTCTCCAAACAGTGGGTGGCCGGAGTATGGTTTAGGGGGCCCCAAGGAACCCCGGGAGGTGCCATGGGGCAAACGCTGCATACATGTCCCTTCTCCTTGCAGTAGTGACACTGAATCTTGATACGGTTTGGTTGGAACCTAGGGGGTCCCTGGTAACGAGTGGAGCCTGGAGGGATGGTAGCCTCTGGACAAGCTGAAGGGACGAAAGCCCGAAAATCTGGGCGAAGAGAAGGCCTCCCAGTGGACTGTTCCATCCACTTCATGTCCATATACTCATCGGCTAGGCGGGCAGACTCGGGCAAGGTAAGGGGTCGCTGGTCACAAATTCATTTTCTGAGTTCTGGCTGGAGAGAATTAAAAGAATGTTCCAGGAGAAATAACTGTAACACATCCTCTGCCGATACTGCTTGGCATCCAGTGACCCAGTGGGATGCCGTACAGTGGAGGCGGCATGCCCACTCAGTGTGTGAGTCCCCCCCCCCTCGATTCTTTGATTCCTGGAATCACCGGCGGTATGCCTCGGGGATAACGGCATACCGGGCGAGTAAGGCTTCCTTAATTGCTGGGTAGTGTGGTACATTCTCGTCTGGAAGGCTTCAGCAGCTCTACCCGATAATTTACCAGATAAAATGGTGACTCATTTATCTGGGGGTACCTTATGCAGTGCGCACTGCCTTTCGAAGTTTGCAAGGTATCCATCGATTTCTCTCTCTGCCTGTAGGAAGCTTTTAAATACAGTGAACGGTGTACAACGTTTTCCACAGTTGGGTTCATGGGTTGCTGTATCTATGCCAAGCATAGCTGGTATTGCCTTCGGTGTGAGGATTAGGTCCATACATTGTTAATC